CCACCCGGGGGCCAGTCACCCGATGGCCAAGGATAATCTGGGTCGCGATCCGGGTACGAATCCTGGGACCCATTCTTCTCATCTGACCAATAAGCGGGGGGGGCTGTTGCTAGATAATTTCTTGGACTTCCCTCTCTTGATCCTCTCAAAGGGTTAGGGTCTGATTGAGACGTCCCAGGGGAGTTCTTTGGACTTTCCAATCCCAGGCTGCTTGAGGTAGTTCCTCCCGGACTACTGGAGGTAGTCGGGGATGTCTCCAAGGAACTCTCCGGGGTTTCCTCCCTTGAAGGGCCATTATTTGCCGGAGACTGAGGTCTGTCCCTCTGCCTTAATCCGTGAGTCAGATCTCCCTCACTACCAGAATCGACAAGGATTCGGGGCTTTTTCCCAGTGTCTTTTGCCAACAAGATTTTACACATTTCTCCCTTACACTTTTGGACCCAGGGGGGGATGGGATTCATCACAGTTGTAACCCAAGAGTCTATGTATGGGAGTTGATCCCAATGGCCATCCCTTCTTACCACCCCTAATACTGCATAGGCCATTTTTAAATCAAAAGAACCGGTATCTGGCCACCCAACTTGGAATGTTGGCCATTCCAACTGACAAAACTTAATCAAATCACTTTTCATCATTTTTATCCCGTATTCCCCTTTATATTTACTGAAGTTCCTTAACATACATCCTAATGGGGTTGCAGAGTTTTCTTCTTGGGAGCTACCCGTTCCCATTTGTGTCAACCAATATACACGCTTACTCAGAGTCCTGTCCACTGAGTCACGAGGTTCCAGCTGAGCCCCCTTGCGTTCGACACTACCTTGTTAGGCAGAATCGGGGCGGCTAGGCTCAGCCTTAGTCTCAGACCTGGTCAGCGGCTCATATTCCCCATTTACAGAGTCCCCGGGGCTGATGCTCAGACCAACATGCTAAACGCTAAAACCGATGTCTGGACTCCCGATTTTCCCCGGCAGACAACCAAATGACACAGGAAAACGAATACTTACTCTGCCAACACCCCGGCGCCTTCTCTTCGGATCCACTCAGCCTGGGTGACTCC